TACACACATATACACATATACATATAGCAAGTTAGGTGTTTAATGGAAATATTTAGGAAGAGTAATACATTTGCTATATTAATGGAGTATGCTCTATCCTTCCAAATTAAACAAATTACCGTCATATTTTCACAAACTTGCTCCTTTATATTTTAAAGAACATTAACACACAAGGCAGAGGTAAATTACAAAAAGCATTTTAGTTTCCATTTTGATCTCAGAAAGACTTCTTGAAACAGCAATTAAATGGTTGTTGTTTTTTATCACCAAAGGTTAGAACAGGAATTAAATGATTAACCAAAGCAGGTAGAATTAATTTCTGTCAACTCATTTCTAGAACAATTCTATATGTAAGTAAGAATACTTTGCATACCCACACTCGAAATACCCTTCATATTTGCATCTCTAAGCTTGATGGTGGCTGGAAAGGAAAGGGAAAATGGTGTTAATTGTCACTATATTTTAACATTTGTCACAATTTTAACATCACTTTGCAATTAAAAATTCAAGTTTCAAAAGGAAAAATTGAATTTACATATGGTTGCTATATAGCTTTCTAGAAGTCTCCTTATTCCAGATGAACAATCAATGAATATTTTTCTTCTCAGTTCTAGACAAAACAAAAATGTAACAAAAATACAACACAAGTTCTCATTGGACACAGGATTTCAGACAGAACTAAGTGACCAGAAACCACCACATTAAAAGGAATCAAGTCAATGACTTCGTATGAAATATTTCCAAACAAATCCCTTGAACCATTCAATCTCAGCAGTGTCATCTTTAACTTTGCAGTAAATTGACCTAGATCACAAAGACAGTAAATGTAATTGAAACAAAATGATACTCATGATAAATCTAATTCACCAGTAAGTTCTAATTCTCAATTACACAAAGTAATTTTAGTTAATTAGATGGTCTCCTTACATATTAAATATTATATTAAAAATTTGAGGAAAACATTTCAGAGAAAAGTTTGTAAATTATGTGTCCACAGTGTCTCCTTTTCCTGATGTAGTTTAAAGGTTGTAGATGACTTCATGTAGCATGAAACAGTGTCTTAATTATAAAATCCTGCCTTTCAAGCCATCGTATTTTGATTATTTTAGTGAGTTACAAATTGTGAAAACGTCAGTTTTTATTACATGACATCCTTTTAAATAATGATTGTGTTTTGTGTGGTTTCATTTATATTAAGAGATCTAGAAGTGATACCTTTCATATTTTAGATCATATTAGTGGAAACTAATAGGATTAGGCTCTGGTAGAAAACATGAAAAAGAGACCACACTAATTCAATAAAATGTAATATATTTCAGAATATCCCTACCTGCAGTTTTGTACATTGTCCACCAACCCCTAGCTGTGAATGTCTCCTAATGAGATTTTGCCCACTGACCTCTGCAGCTCTTCTGGCAATAAGAAGAGGGTGAGAGTGATTCTGCAAAACATGATATCTCAGAACCTCAATTTGCCAGATGAAAGATAAAGCAATGAGGAGGAATGAGAAATACAACTCAGACATCTGAATCTAACTTGGGGCTAGGATGCTTTTTAGTGAAACATACATGGGATATCAGAAGGTACAAATTTAATAGCCACATTTTAAAAAATCTTTAGGATGATGCATGATTTTTTAAATATCACCTAATAGCCCAGCCAATGTGACTCAGTGGTTGAGCTTCTACCTATGAACCAAGAGGTTACAGTTTGATGCCAAGTCAGGGCATATGCCCAAGATTCTGGGCTTGATCTCCATTGTGTGGGGCATGCAAGAGGCAGCCGATCAATGATTCTCACTCATCATTGGTCTCTTTCTCTCTCTCTCTCTCTCTCTCTCTCTCTCTCTCTCTCTCTCTCTCTCTCTCTCTCAAATCAATACAAATATTTATCAATCAATCAATATAACCTAATAGATAAGATAAATGAACAGCTGAAGGCTGTAGGTGATGTTTGACCCATCTTTACATTCCTGGAATTTAATGTAATTTTGACATTCATGGACTTTTCATAGCTGTTGGAAGCATTTTAGGTTACATTTCTGGGGAAATATGGATCATGTTTTAAATAATCACACTACAGGATTCATCATGTATTTGTGATCCCTTTATAATATTCTCTTAAAAAAAAAAAAACAGCACTATTTGTGGTGCCTGACCACTCTTATAATATTAAAATTGTGCTAGAGATAAGGTATAAGTGTCAATTAGCAGATTTTATTACCATAATCATGAATAACCTCACAACAATCCAACCAGAGAGTTGCACTTACATCTGAAATTTTAAAACCATTTGAAACTCCCTATTAACAAGTGCATATTTGTACTCATTATAAGACTTCTTGGTATGCCATGCTAATTACTTTTCTGCACTCTGGTTCCCAAACCACAATGAATCCTATTATAAAAGCAAATCACTGCAAACTTCAAACAAGATGCCACTATTAAGGGAGGAACAATGATGGGAAGTCTTTGATGTTATCAGATGTGATGGGAAATACTTATTTGTACTTGAGTAAGTCCTGTAGATTGAAGCATTTCCTCCCCACCTCTAAATAACCTGAGACCAATTTCAAGTTCCCAAATGCTCTTCAAAGCAGCCCACATTGGAAGTAATGCTGATGGCATTTCAAATTTCAAGGCGGCTTGTTTTTTTTCTGTCTCAAGACTTCAAGCACATTTGCAATTTTACTTTCAGAGAGAAAGGATATTACCTGCTTTTACCCACACCACTAGCTTCTGGTTTGATGAGTGAAATGGGATAGGCCAAGAATGAATGTACCTGTGATAATGAAAAGGTGGTATGTAACCAAGGAGTTCAGTGTTTGAGGAATGCAGCAGTCTCTAAGGCATTCTAGGCTGTGTTTAATTACTCTGGGTTCAGTTCTTTCTTGTTCTCGTGTAGTTTGACCAAAATTCGGGATGTAATCTTTGAGCTTGTGGTAGGGCAACTGTACATGACTGTAATACATCCCCTTCTGAATGGGGCATCTGAGAAGCTGAGGACAAAAATTGGTGTGTGCTTGGCTCCAACGCCCACAGGGAGCCTGGGCCACACAATTCAGAACATTCATACTGCAATTCCTGTACAGGAGGGTCAGTCTGTGGCTTCTTAAAAGGCTTCAGATCCGTGGTCAGTAGAATGTACTTGAGCTAAAAGGTTACAGTGACCCTAGTGAAGTTCCCCTAGCATTTAATTAGGTTTCCTGTAATTGCTTTAAGTAAAAGGGGTGAGGGGAATGAAACCTAACGTTATCATCTTGGGGCAGAAAATATGTGTATGTGGTTTTAATATCCTGAGCCCATTTGTGGCTGCTCTGCATTTTGGAAAGAGCCGTAATAGGTCTAAGGAAACACAGACAGCAAGTTTATCAGCCCTTTGGTGACTGTAAATTACTGCAGCAACTTTATAGGAAGAGCTTTGTTTCCAGTAAGTGAATTTCTACACAAAGGGAGAAGGTATAAACAAGTAAAACAGGCAAAAGTATTAAACACCAGAAAGAGGGATTTTTTAAAAGGTGGGGGGAGCGATAGAAAAGCATGAATTTGCATGAATTTCTAGAAGTGGGGAAAACTACAATAATTACATGAATTATTGCATGAATTTCTAGAAGTGGGGAAAACTACAATAATTACAATAAGATAGGAAGATGAGGGGCTTAGGCAGGGACTAGGAAAGAGGAAGGAAAGTAGTATTTGCTGATAAATTGGAATTTTTGCTAAAGTTAATATGTTCTTTCCTCACAATAATCTCAGTTCATTGAGGAAAATCACCATCTTACTCTCATTTCCTAATAGCTTACTGCTTTTATATAATGGATACATAATAAATATTTGTTGAATGAATGGATGGGTGGGTGGATGGATGGATGGATGGATGGACTGACGAATGGTAGAAAGCAATATGTTTAAACTTTCTTCCTGTGCTCATACTTGATGCAGAGCAAATTCTTCTTCTCCCCAAGGGTGCCCCTGATAGTTCTCTCAATAGACGCTCCATCTGGAAAGTGCAAGTTCAGTCTCTAGGAGAACTGACAGTCACGCGCATATATCTTGTAGATCTCTGTTGTTGCTCAGCGCAAAAATGCAAACTGCAGAATGAATCTCTGAAATAGGCTTTGAATCCTCAAGATAAACACCCCTAAAATGATAATCTCAGATTCTCAGTACAATTTATGTTATTTAGGATTACATAATTCTGTGAAATAAATTCTAAGAATTGGAGCATTTTAGCTGGAGACCACTTTATCTTTAACAGGATTTTGGTTACATTACAATTATAGAGAAACATTTAGGCTTTCAAAATATTATGCCTGAAAACTTTCAAGTCATACATTCTTTGGATAGAATAGTAGAGGTTTGTTACCTGGGGTTACTATATATTTCAAGAAAAAGTGTGCCTAATAACTGAAACACATCTGCTAACATAATTTAATTGTTAATCTCCACATATTTATAAATTACTTGCTGATATGATAAAATGTGATATATATTGTAGATAGACATATTTCTAACTTATGCACTTATGATTATAGTTTTAGGTGGTTCTCTCTCATTTCATGTGAACTAAATCTTCTTAAGAAGATTTAGATATCTAATTCAGTGTATAGCATGTGAGTCTCTTCCCCACACCTATATAATTGAGGTAGAATCCTTAGAAGCTGTGAAATTCAAGTTCACATTTAAATATACAGGAGGAGATAACTTGGTGGAGGATGATTATTAGGCCATATGAGGAAAAGTGTAATTTTGTGGAATAATAGATCTTCACTTTCATCTTCTGATGAATCCAGAAGATTTGAGAAAGCAAATAAGAGAATGAAAAAGTTGTGAGTCAAGTTACTGGAGCCAGAGGAAAATCAGAGGAGATGAGAGGCAATATCTGGGATGTTGATCTATGGCATCAAGAAGGATAAGGGAGTGGAGAAAAGCATGGTATGATGTTTTGTATTTCCTTAGTACAAATCTTCTCCTGACTTGAATCTTCCTTTCTCTGGTTAGGTCTCATTGTCCGGGAAGTGAGCATTGAGATTTCGCGCCAACAAGTGGAAGAACTCTTTGGGCCTGATGATTATTGGTGCCAGTGTGTGGCCTGGAGCTCAGCGGGCACCACCAAGAGCCGGAAGGCCTACGTGCGCATCGCATGTGAGTCATTGCGCATGGACCCTTGGGGTCTTCGGGTGCTGGTGGAATGTGGGCAAATTTAGAATGCAGCTGCTCTAGCATCAAAAAAAAAACCTGGTCAAAAATGGCTCTCAGATTTCTGCATTTGAGCTACATTTTTACCTTACGTCAGCAGAATATTATTATTTTTTTGTTTGTGTCAAGGCACTGAATAGTTTTCCTTTTGTGACATGAAAAAAAACAGTGCTACTTTCAAAAGATTCTGATATTTTGAAAATCTGGTAATAATTAGGTTATGGGAAAACCAACTATATTCCTTTAATGAGTTTATGTTGCCAATTTAAGACAATGTTGACTAGATTTGCTATTGGGGACAAAGATTACCCAGACAAAGCTTTTCTGTTTATTTTGGAAACATTCTACTGCATCAAAATTACCACTATTTTCCACACTGTGTTAATTTTAGAGTATTCATGTTCAGGGAGCAGTTCAGCAGTGCCTTACAAAAAGGGTTATATAATCAAATCGATGTCGAAAATACCAGTCCTGCCTCTTTTTTTTCTTTTTTCTTTTTGGCCAAAGTTATAGAAGTTTCTTCATTGCAGAGCTTCCCAGATTCTTTAAGATGGTGATGTTAATATGCTATTATTTCCCCCCAAAGGAGAGAGAGCCTGCAGCTATATCTTTTCTCAATGAATGCTACTCACATCCTGAGCAGCATGAATGCTGCTATAATCTGCTTTAATGTTCCATTTTGAGAAATTTTCTCAAGTATGAAACCAAAACTTACAATCCATGCAAGTTTTATTCTCCGAACCCCTTTTCAGGTCTGCATTTTTCTAAATCCCTCTTTAATACTCTGGTTTCTCTTCAGATCACATAAATCTTTCGCCTTTTACTAAATCCCTCTTTGTGGCAGATGTCAATATCACTTATGTCTATGGTGTCACTAAGTTTCCAACAGTCCTGGCTCGGATGCTTCCCCAATTCCATACTTCTCTTCCTTCCCTTTCCCATGATATAGACCACAACCACTGTCAATACTTCCCAGTTTTGTTTGGGCCTCAAGCTTTTGCCCTCCTCCAACCTTCTTCCATATCACCACAAATGCAATCTTCCAAAAACCCAGGCCTCATCTCCTCTCTCCCTGCTTAAAATTTACAGGGGCTGGTGTGAAAAGTCAACATTCCTTACAATGGCACATATCATTATGCTAGTGTTTTAGGGCTGCCAAAACAAAAAACCACAGAGCAGTTGGATTAAACAGTGCATCTTTTCTCACCGTTCTAAAAGCTAGAAGTCTAAGATCAATATGCCAACAGTATTGATTTCTTCTGAAGCCTCTGTCCTTGGCTTGGAGATAGTTATCTTTTCTGTGTCTTCACAAGGACTTTCCTCTGTAACAGTCCAAGTCCAGATTTCTCTTCTTAATATGATTATTAGTCAATTCATCCAGTATTGCTCAGTGGTTGAGCGTCGACCCAGGAACCAAGAGATCACACTTTGATTCCTGTTAAGGCCACATGCCCATGTTTCTGGCTCAGTGGGAGCATGCAGGAGGCAGCTAATCAATAATGTTTCCTCTCTCATCAATGTTTCCATATTTCTCTCTCTCTCTAAAAACTAATAATAATAAAAACATTTAAAAACAAACAAACTAGTAGTTATTTTAAACTAGGGCCACCCTAAGGCCTCATTTTAACTTACTTACCTCTTGAAAGGCCTTTTCTCCAAATAAAATCATATTCCGAGGTACTGGGGATTAGGACTTCAACATACAAATTTTGGGAGACGCAACATAGTCCATAACTACGTATTTCATGTTTTATATAGCCAGCCTTTGTTTCCAACTCTGACCCACAAAGAATTTCTCCATATTAATCATGCTACATTAGAAATATCTTGATTTATATGCTTCCTAGATATTGTTCATACTAAAGGAGCTCACCTTTCTCTTATTTCCCTTCATTATTTGTAAAAGGTCAATTATTTAACAAATATTTAGCAAACATGTTATCTTTCTTGGAACAATTGTTGTTATTTGTTGTGGCATGAAACAAAGTGATGATCCCTGCCCTCATGGAGTTGGATGTTCTGGTGAGGAAGGGAAAACTCTAAATCAAATCACTAGTAATCAGATATACATAATTGGTAAATTCTATGAACAAAGCAAGAAATGGTACTAAGCAGTGCTACGGGGTGGTGTTCAAGGAAGAAATTGGCAATTGAAGGAACCTAAAGGAGGAGAGGGAGGGAGTCAGGCAGAGGGAAAAGGACGTTGGAGAAGTATGGGTGGATATCCTGAGGCAGAAGGCAGGCCAGTTCCAAGAAAACCGCATTGGCCACAGTGGCTGGAAGAGATTGAGTGAGAGGAGACTCCTGCATGAGCAGAGAAAATTAAGATATGGAGACATATGTAATACTTTCAACAATAAATGTTTAAAAAATAGTAATAATTAGCCCTAGCCAGTTTTTCTCAGTGAGTAGAACTGACAGATCCCTGGATGCAGATCATAATAATCTGGCCACTCAATGTATATGTAATATTGCGAATTATTGTGTTGATTTTTTAAAATATAGAACTCATTATTCATGGTCTCTTATGTCATTTCCCCCCCATTTCCTATCTTCTCAACCTAGCAAAAAACAAAATTAATTAATTATGGAATTTAGCCAAATAATGTACTTCTTTAACTAGGTATTCTGAAAGATTTATATTATACTATGAAAGTATCTCGATGTTTAATGCCAAATGTTTTGATAGAGCTTAGCAAGCTTGCCAACATATTGTAATAAATCACCTATTTATTAAAGTGCTGTTTGATTCTTTGTACAACCATTTAAACCCCTAATAAGTCCATTATAAACTACAGAGGCTATATTTTGAAATAGAGGAGATTAATTATAGAATTTAGACTTTTTATATAAGAGAAAAAAAATTAATATATTTTATTGATTTTTTACAGAAAGGAAGGGAGAGGGATAGAGAGCTAGAAACATCAATGAAAGAGAAACATTGACCAGCTGCCTCCTGCACATCCCCTATGAGGATGTGCCAGCAACCAAGGTACATGCCCTTGACCGAAATCAAACCTGGGACCTTTCAGTCTGCAGGTCGACGCTCTATCCACTGAGCCAAACCAGTTTCGGCGGATAAGAGAAAATTTTAACAATTAATTTCTTCTTGCATTATATAAATCTCAGCTATTATATTAAATAGTATTTAATCATGTTGTTTCTATTTCAAGATTAAATGCTATAATAGTATCAATCTATGTTTTTCCAAATATATTTGCTTTTATATATGGATAGAAGGTCCCAAGATTTGTAGAAGACCACAAATCTATAGACATTTATAGCCCATATTTATTTTGAGAGCTAGACATCCAATTGATTGAAAACTGTCTCATAAGTTATATTTTGGGGGAAATCATTTATTTATTTGCTAGAAAGAGCTGGTAACCCACCAGACTAAAATGTGGCATTAAAGTAATCTTTTATGCTGTGTGAAAAAGGGAAGTTTATGGCTAAAAGGCTTATTTGCAAAAAAGCTTGTCTGCAATCATTGCATTCTTTTTTGTATTCAGAGAAAAAGAGTCTTAACTTTTTGATATGTCAGGTACTCATCCATAAAGTTGGCATGTGTCTTATTATTTATCCTTAAGACATGCCTTAAAAAATGTTGTGATGACATATAATCATTTTTTTCTGAAATGAAAGATGCAGTGTGAATTATAAAAGAATGGCTCGTATGTGTTTTTTCTCTTACTCTTCTCTGTAATGGATGTCATTTGGAGTTCTAGCTCTAAAATACTTATTAGAAAAAAAAAAACTTTAGCAGAACTCTGTGAATACAAATATGTCTTATAAATGCCCCAAATCCAAGAAATAAAGAAGAAAGGCTGAAATGGTCATTCCTTCTTCAGGGACTATAATCATGAGAGATTTCTCTGTTGAAATGATCTCAGTGCAGTAAGGAAGTAGCCATACCTCAGCACAACTTAAACCTTCACCACAATAATCTTTAGCTTATTTGCTTAAAGATCATTCTAACCTCTGTCCCTAGGTATGGATTATGGTATAATAAAAGGTTTGGTGATAAATTCTTAAGAGTCATGAAAAACAGCTTTTTCAATTGTAAGATGAGGTTACAAAATGACAGAAACCAATTAGTGTTTCATCTTCATTAAACTTTTAAAAATTCTCTGTCCTGGTAGCCAACATTTATGGTGTCCTTACGGTATGCCCAATTATGTTGTAAAGCCTCTTGTGCCTGTTAACAATCCTGAAAGAGATCCTGGTATGATCCCTATTCTGCAAATAACAAAACAGAGGCATGGAAGCAGGTAACTTGCCTGAGTCACTTGTTAAGGAAATGATAAGTCTGAGTGTTAAGCAAACTCTTCCCTTTGCAGTCCAGTTCATTGTGCAGATTTTCAGAAATGTGACAATTATTGACTTTTCTATCTAACCATAGAGGAAACTTCATGTAGTTTATATTTATTGGTTGATTGCTTGACTTTTGTCTTCTTTGTTTTATCGTTTCCAATATTCTAGAAGAAAAAACAAGTGGGGGGGGGAATTTTATCTGTTTTTTACATACTGTATTCCTTACATTTAAACATTACAGACTTTCTGATTATAAACATTTTCATGATTTACCCAGCTCAGTGGTTGGGTGTAGACCTATAACCCAGGAGTTACGGTTCAATTCACAATGAGGGGCAATCCCTGGGTTTGGAGCTCGATCCCCAATGTCAGGCGTGCAGGAGGCAGCTGATAAATTATTCCGTCTCATCATTGATGTTCCTATCTCTCTCCCTCTCTGTTCCTCTATGAAATCAATAAAAATATTTTTAAAAAATAAATGGAAAAAAAAATCATGATTTTTTAAAAGTCCAACAAAGGTAAGATACTCAATTCCTGAAAAATGAGACTATGATAAACTTTTGAAGGTTCTATTGCCTAAACTCAGGCATTTTTCGCTTTTAATAAGTGTATAACGTGCAGAAGACTAATCT